AAAACTAAGAACTTTTTTAAATGAATAAAACATGGGCTTGCATAGAAATTCATTCAAATGTCAAGTTTAATGTGACTAATTTGAGAAACCAGTAGCCACTGAAATTCAGGGCTGGCATTTGCTGTTACAGCTCCACACTTATCAGTACATTTGTTAGAGTATTAAAATTTATGTTTAAATTTAAGCATATATATGCTTAGTTTGGGGAAAAGTTTAGGAAAAAACTGATAAGCAGATAAAAGAAAATAAAAACACCTAAAATCTCATCACCCAAAGATAACAATTATAATTATTTCAGAATATGCCTTCCTGATCCTTTAAATAGGTAGATATATTTTAAAGTACATAATGGATTATGCTACGCACAGTTTTGTAATCCATTCATTTTACTCCACAATATGTGATAAGCACCTTTTCATACTGATAAATACATTGGCATTTTAACAGCTGCACTACTTTCCACGGGATATGTTTCCCGTAATTTATGTAACACCATGATATTGCCCCTGTACACACAAACACAAGCCCCAACTCCCTGATTCTGGCACCTTCCATGATTCTAACCCAAAGAGAAAAGTCAAAGTCAATGCTGGCCCTTTGTCTAGAAAAGAGACACATTGCTATTCAGTTTTCAAAGAAAAAGAAATGAAAACTGACAGGTTAGAATTAACTGAGAAAAGCACCTCATCTCAAATGCCACAAACATTTCAAATAGGTAGAGCCTAATCCGCTTTGCAGTTCTGCCCGGGGAGGCCAGCTGAATTTTAGGCCACACCTGGGCCACTGGCAAGATTGAGAGGAGCTAAAAATAGATCCAGAACTGAGCATTGAGACTCTTCTGAATTCATAAGCATGAAGACTGCCCCAGAAGGACTTGCCTCTCCGACATTTTCCATCCACAGCATGTTGCACTGCCTAAAATTCTTAAGGATTATGGCTTTGTGGAAGGCCCCTGACAGAAAGTAGGCAGCTACCCTGGGAGGAGGGCAGAGAGACCCTCTCACTGGGACAGAGTCAGATGGCCAGGGGCTCATGTTCCAGCTTTGCCTATCACCAGCTGTGTGACCTTGGGTCCAGTCCTCAACCTCTCTGGGCTGCTGTGTCCTCCTCTATAACAAGGAGACCGCAGACTCCTTCATAGAGTTATTGTGAGGGTGAAATGGCCTGACCTCTGCCCAGTGGAGCTCATCACACAGGTAGCCCCCCGTCCTGATTGTGACCAGTCGCGTCCAAAGCTTTCCGGGAGTAGAGTGACTGATGAGTCACCAGTATGTGCTGGCTCCACCAGCTAGCAGCACACAGACAATGCTAATGCTGTTTACATTTTTGTTTTTTTCTTTTCTTTTTCTTCTTGGTAGAGACAGGGTCTCACTCTTGCTCAGGCTAGTGTCAAACTCCTGAGCTCAAGCCATCCTCCTGCCTCAGCCTCCCAGAATCCTAGGATTATAGGCGTGAGCCACTGCGCCAGGCCAGTTAATGCTGTTTACATGCTTGCTGTGGAGTGAAGTTGCTTTCACCTCTATGTTGGTTTCTGAGGGCTGCCGTTACAATGTACCACAAATAGGTGGCTTAAAAAGAACAAAAATGTAGTGTCTGCCAGTTCTGGAGGCTGGAAGCCCAAAGTCAAGGTATTAGCAGGGCCACGCTCCCTCTGAAACCCCCAGGGGAGGATTCTTCCCTGCCTCTTCTGGCTTTGGTCCTTGGCATTCCTCGGGATGTGGGTGCATCACCCCAATCTCTGTCTCCATTGTCTGTCCTCTTCTTATAAGGGCTCTTGTCACATTAAATTAGGAACACACTCTAGTCCAGTATGGCTTCATCTTCACTAATTACCTCCACAACAAACCTATTTCCAAGTAAGGTCACATTCTGGGTACCAGCGGTTAGGATTTCAACATATCTTTTTGGGGGACACGATTGAATCCATAACAGCCTCTAAACCCGTTTTGAGACAAGCATTCTCTCTTCAGTGCCTGAGCTAAGATGAGAGCAACAGCAAATGTTATCCCTGCACCCAAAGGAAGAACTCCCAGGGCAGACCCTGGCCAGCCCTGCTGCCTGTCTGAGGACACGTCACATGTGGGGGATTGAAAACAGGCCCAGAGACAGATGAAGGTAGATACCTCACCCTCCCTGCTCAATATATCCTCACAGCTCAAGTCTCTTTTTGTCTGGGACAGAGTCTCACTCTGTTGCCTGGGCTGGAGTGCTGTGGCGTCAGCCTAGCTCAACAACTTCAAACTCCTGGGCTCAAGCAATCCTCCTGCCTCAGCCTCCCGAGTAGCTGGGACTACAGGCATGCGCCACCATGCCCGGCTAATTTTTTTATATATATGTATTTTTTAGTTGTCCAGCTAATTTCTTTCTATTTTTAGTAGAGACGGGTCTCGCTGTTGCTCAGGCTGGTTTTGAACTCCTGATCTTGAGCGATCCGCCCGCCTCAGCCTTCCAGAGGCGGCTCAAGTCTTTATTGTGCCATGCTAGTGGGCACCCAGGATGTGGGGTCCCAGGTCCACCTTCTGGAGACTCATAGTTCCTATAAAACACTGAGTGAAGACACAGAGCAGAGAGGGAGGCCATTCCCTCCTACCCCTCCTCCCTCACACGCCTTCTCTTTACTCAGCTCATTGCAGCCCAGGCTACATGGCTGCAGGAACGGCTGGAAGGGGGCTGAGCCTCAGCTCCCTGCTCCACCCTGGGACATCAGCAGCCCTGGGGGGCTGCCAGGGGGAGAGGTGAGCAGGGACTTCCTGATCCAATTGCTCAGGTACATGAGAGAACAGCTGACATTTGCAGGAGTCCCCAGTAATGGAAAATTGATGACAAAGCTCTTCACACATTTCTTAATACATTTGAAAGTCCTTAACAAAACAAACCTCAGGGCCTGAATAAATTGGCTTCCAGATGCTGGCCCAAGAACAAGCTGGTTAGACAGTGTGGGGCATTGAAGAGAGGGTGGGTGAGACAGGAGTGAGTGAACAGTCCGCCCCTCTCCTGCAGTAAACCAGCCCTCCCTGCCACCGTCACACCCACTCCGACCCCTCCTTCGAGTAGGGAGGGCACAGGCAAGATCAGGCAACTGTGTGTCAGATAGATTTTTACAAGTAATTTGTGACTAATGATAAAAAATGGAAGCTTGGGGGTTATTTTCTTTTGCCTGAGTCTGTTGAAGGTTATCTGTATCACATCACTCTGTCTCACTTACATCAAGCCAAGCTTTCTTCAAAGGGAGAGAAACGACCAGTTATGGCTGATACCCGAGCACTGTGCAAAATCTGCAGTGCAGCTTTTTCATGCAGAGCCGGCAGTGAGCAATGCCCCAGGAAGCCCCAGGAGGTTTTGTCTGTGTGAATGACAATGCCTTAGGGTCTTTGCGCCTATAAATGGCTCACATTTACTGTTCCATCTACAGAGCTTTGTGCTTTGTGGCACATGGAATCAGGGCCACAGTTTCACATTCATCACAGAGGAGGGCCTGGACGTCCCCCTCATCTCTCTCCCTCTCCTTCCAGAGTAGGAGTCATGGCCTGCGGGGGCTGCCCAGCCACCTGGGAGTTCCCAGCCCCCCAGAGGTTGTGTATGGCCTCGTGACTAAGTTTTAAGAAACAGTGAAGTGGCAGAAGGGATGTGTGCCACTTCCAGGCCGATGTGTTGGGAGGCACAGTGTGTCTCCCCTACCTCCTCTTTCCCATCTCCACAAACGAGCACAGAGGGGCCTGCCACCTGGCTTCACCCCCAGACAAAGCCGGAGGGATGATAAAGAAACAAGATGGAAAGAAGAAGGGTCCCTCAATGACCAAGGGCGGCCAAGCCACCTGCCAACCAGGAACGCTCACCTTGCCTGTGTCTTAGGTCAGGTGACTTGGGACAGACTCGGTGTGCTGGCGGTTTACTGAGGTGTACTCTAGGGAGCAGCCTATGCGAGTTGCAGGGCAGAAGAAATCGAACTGCAGAGAAGGGGGATGAGAGCCCTCCGCTGATCCAGTGGGGAGCGCTGGAGCTAGGACGGCCCTTCCAAGGTGCCTAGACTGAGCGGAGGGAAGGGAACCTTTGTACTCCATAGCTACCTGTCCTTCCTGGGTGGGAGCTGCTCCCACAAGTTGCATAACTTGGGCGAGGCAGCTCCTTTTATCCAAGGGCAATTCCCAGACTGGGACTCAGCTATGAGCCCTTAACAAACACCGCATCCAGCAGCAGGGGAGGTGGGTGAAGGGGGGATCCAAGCGGTGCACCACAGCATCCACTGTAGGCTGTCACATAAGGGACAGACTTTGATCTTCTTTGAGTCACTGGTTTACTGTAGGGTCTCTTTATCACAAAAGCCTCACCCTCCCATCTCCTGAAGCTCTCTGCTGGTCATGTCCTGTCCCCCAACGGAGAGAGACTCTGTGAGACAGGCGCTGACTCAGCAGTTTGCAAGGTGTGGTCCCCAGACCAGCAGCATCAGCACCCCCGGGAAATTGTTTTAATTGCAAATTTTATCCCTTCCCCCAAGACTACTGAGCCAGAAATTCTGAAGATGGTACCCAACAATGCATGTGTCAAAAAGCCCTCTGACGACACCCAAGATTAAGAACCAAACCCAAGATTGAGACCCACTGCTCTAGGTTTTCTTCCTTCCACACTCAGGGCACCATCCACTGTCCAGGGCACATGGTGGCCGTGAGGGTGATTTGGAAGAGCCTCTCCTTGAAGGCCCTGGGGCTTTGCATTAAGATGCTCACAGCCTGGTGATATTTAGCCTGATGATGTTGCACCTGCTGTCTGGTCTCCACCCTTCCCCTCTGATACCACTGGCCCATCCCTCTCCTCTGCCTTGGAAGAGTGCAGAGCAGTGGGATCCTCATTGCTTTGGGGCCAGGCAGATGTGGCTTCCAGCCCCCACTGTGTGCTGACCGCCCTCAGATGAATTGCTTGTCTGTTGCTCCGTTTCCTCATCTATACGGTAGGGATAAGCCCCGCTCTGCATAGCTATTGTGAGACAACATGAGAAAACCTACCTTAGTGTCTAACATTGCCTGGTGCTGAGTACTCCATCACCATTAGCCTCATCCTTCAATACCCTTCAGGGATCACCTGCTTTGTTCCAATAAGAATTTCCAAGAATAGGTCTGTAGAACTCATTGGCACTGAAAGGTAAATCACCAGTAACTGAAAGTACTGTGACCCTCCCAAGGAAATGTGCATTTTAGCCACAGCCTAAGGATCAGATTAGAACAATGCTTTTTGTTTGTTGTTTTATGATTATTATTTTATTTCAGAATATTATGGGGTGCAATTGTTAAGGTTACATACATTGCCCTTGTCTCCCCTCCCCCCTCGAGGCAGAGCTTCAAACGTGTCCATCCCCCAGATGCTGCACAACGCACTCAGTATGTATGTATATACCCATCCCCTCCTCCCCCCTTCCCCCTGCCCCACACCCGACAAATGTTTGTTTTTCTTTTTTTCTTAACATTTTGGTTACATTTTATATCTTTGCCTCTCCCTAGGAAGGGTTACAGGTATGCCCTTCCCCTCCACAATGTGTTGTTATTTTTTTAATTGTGGGGAAGGGGAGGCTTTCTTCCCAGCCCCTGAAATCACACTGCACATGGGGCTGTCTCGGAGTCTGGACTCTTGGTAATTCTTTCCCAGAGGCCTTTGACCTTGAGGAGGCCCATTCTAATGAAAATGCCCCTTTCAACAGAAAGCTGAGCGAACCAGCCCGGCTTCAGATGGTTATATTTAGCCCTGTTGGTGCCCCCAGGTGCCTGCTTGTCTCCTTGTTTGAATCCCAGTGGAGGAGGCCACGTTTCTCTAGACTTGTTTCTTTCATCCCAAAGTTGAAAATCATTCCCATGACCTCTCACAGCCCAGATCTCAGGGTTCTCCAAGGTCAGCCTGACTCAGACAGAGAAAGGGATTTTAGGACATCAGAGGGACCTTCCTGTCCCTAAAGATTCTCCTCAACCTGACAGTCAAGGCCTGATAGTCCTCCCCCAGGGCCAATGCCTTCCATTCTACACCGGGAGGGCAGACCGCCAAGGAGAGGGGCCAAGTGACCTCCATTTGCAGCAAAGATGAAGCGACTGACTGACAGCAGGCCTTGCCTGAAAGTTGGTTCCGGCAGGCGGGAGCTCTGGGCAGCTGAAGAGGGAGGGTGCTCAGCCATGAATTTGAGTTCAGTGACCACATCCCATCGCCCAGCACCATGCTGGTGTTTTATTCCAACTTTTTCCTCTGAAGTCTTCATCAATTCCATAAACCCACCCTCTGTATTCTGTGTCAGCAGCCAGTCACAAGAGGAACCCACCCCGCCCCTCATCCACAGACCGTCCACCCTCCGCACCACGGCTCTGAGGTGCTGAGTGCCCGAGGGGCCCGAGGGATGCATCAGGGAAGTGCGGCTGCAATGTCTGTCTCCAGGGAAGCCTGGCGCTCGGCTGAGAATGCACAGTTCTGTCTTCAAGACCCTGCAGAAGACTCACAACCTGCTCTGTGTAATGTCCCAAGACAAGGACCCTGAAGCTTTGCACCAAGTCATCTCCACTTATGACCTTCTGCATTTGGACAGAGTTTGGGAACTCAACGGGCTCTGTGCCATGCCGGCTCCGCTGGCCCAGCCCTGCCTGTGAGGGGCAGGCAGGCTTAGACTGGAAAGCAGGCGCAGAGAGGCTAAGGGATTTGCCCAGTCACACAGCTGGTGTTGAGGGGTGAGGGGGCAGTTGGGGCTTATCCCCAGTTCTGCATCTCCAAATCTGATGCATTTTCCTTTGCCCGGGGAGACAGTTGTAGCAGCAAAGCCCAGAGAAGATCTGAGCATTCCCGTGGCATCCTCCAAGGAAGAAGAAAGAAGGAAGGTCTGGGAGGAGTACGACCCTGGGATCCAATGAAAGTCTGCCGTATTTCCCCAGCGACGGCCACCCTTCTCCTACAGCGCTGCCCAGACCCATGTGTGGGTTTGCAATGGCTTTCTCTTATGGTTTGGGGCCACTTCCAGTGAGACAGAGGCCGGGAATTAGATGAGCAATCTCCCCAGAGAAGATACTTTGTATATTATAACCTTTCTCCACTAAAGACTCGGAGATGGACCAGGAGCAGAGAATCTTGGTTTAGAGGAGAAATCGATGGCATACAGCCATGGAGGTCGCAGCCACAGGCCTAGGCCCTTAGAGAGGCCGGAGCCTGATCCTCCCCGGAGACACTGGGTGGATATTTATTTGTGTCACGTGAGTGCCATGACCCGTGCGTTCCTCCTGGAGGTGGGTGGGAAGTGTGGCTCACCTGCTGGATGGCCAAGCACAAGTGACCCCTAAGTGCTCCTTCCTCCATCAGTGTCTCTTCAGACCAGTCTTGTCCCTGTTGCACTGAGGAAACTGAGGCAGCGTGGCAGGTTTATCTTCCTGTGATGTCATAACTGGAGATGGCTGGTTGCTGTAGAGACCACTTTTCAGAGCAAAGGATGTCTGTTATATCCAGGAACGGCCTCTCCCTCCCTCGCTGCTTTCCTGTGACCCCTCAGGGAATCCTGTCTTCCTCCCTCAAAGCTACACTGCTGACAGCAGGAGGGGTCTTAAGGGCCTGTGAAGTTTGGGCAGTAAAACTTCTAGGTTTGGTATAAAGTACAAAATCTTATATCAGAAGATCCTATTCCATGGCACTGTCTTAACTAATATGCAAAACGCCAGCTTTGCCAGCCAAGACAATGTGCTCATCAGCTACTTTGTGCACATGCTCCATCCTTCCGCCTGCTCACCCTTAGAAAAAGATCTTTCCCATTGTCTTCTCAGAGAAGCTAGTTCACCATACCCCAAACACTACAGATCTCGAGATGTATTTTGGTTGCTGTTATTTAAACAATATGCTCAGTGGATAAAGACTTCCTTATTTGCATGCATATGGGACCATGTGTAAAAACAAAATGATTGATTTCCAATCTACGTTGGATCAAGGCAAGTTATGGCTAAATGATGGTGGGATTCATGGGCGAGCCACTGGTCCACCCCTTCAGCAATCAGAGATCAGAAGGATTTGAGAGATGGGCACACTGGGCCAGGCCAACTCTGTAAGTCAGGCCTCCAGCTATTCTGGGTCTCACATTTTCTGTCACTTAATGTCCCCTGAAACTCTGAGATGTCAGGTTCTCCCTTCTCTGCCTGTGATCACATGAGATGAGAGACAGAGATATAATTCACCCTCAGTATTTTCTTTTATTATCCTATAACAGACACTGTTGATGCTCTACCCATAAGCCCTAGACCTACCCCTGAGTGTTTCTGTACACGTCTTCCCCAACTTCCACATGCCTTTATTACGAACACCCCACACCAGTGACTATCTTAAACAGATAACCCTTCGGCTACTGGAGAGACTTTTCCCAGATGAAATAACCTAGGAGTTTATATCCCCCAACCTCCAATCCAGGGGTAGATCATAGCCCATTGCAGAACAGTGCAGAAGTGTGGCAGATTGCAGTTCCCAAAAATGGCTACAATATCTCTGGTCCTACATGTTCTTCCAGAACATTGTTGCTTCCCCACCAAGATGTGGCATCTATTTCCCCCTCCCCTTGAAACTGGGTGGGTTTTTGTGACTACCTTCACACAGAAAGCAGTGGAACTGATGCTGTATAGTTTGTGAGTAGCCATAAAAGGAGACATTGTTTCCACCTGCCTCTTTTAGCAACCTCGCCCTTGGAACCGAGCCACGACTTGTGAGGAAGCCCAGGCCACGTGGGGACGGTCTGTATAGATTTGCTTGCTGAGAGCTCCAGCTAAGGTCCCAGCCCACAGCCAGGACCAATTGCCAGGTGTGTGAGTGACAGAGCCGCCAGAGGATCCCAGACCCAGTCTTTCAGCTGCTCCAGCTAACATGACTAGAGCAGAGATGAGCAGTCCCACCCAAATGGAAGACCCATGAGAAAAATTAGTATTGTCATTGTTTTTGCAACTATGTTTGGGGGTGGTTTATTGGTTTGGGGGTGGTTTATTGGGGGTGCAGCAAAAGATACCAGATATAGATGTAGGTACCTGGGAGTAGGGTGCTACCATAATAAAACTTAAATATGGGGCTTCGGGCTTGGGTGGCCAATGGAGGCTGAAGGGCCTTGATGAAAGGGTTAATGAAAACCTAAAGGGCCTCAAAGAGCCTGTCAGGGGAAGCCGGATGGCTCTGGGGGGCCACAGCAACATTTCTAGTTCTACGTGCTCTTGAGGAACCTTGCCACTTCCCATGACGAAGTGGGGCTTTATCTCTGCTCCTCTTGAAATTGGGCAGGCCCTGATTTTGCCAGGTGAAGACAGCAAAATTAATGCTGCTATTTTTTTTAGGTACTTTGGGGAGGAGCAGGGAAAGACCCACTTAAAAGGCTAATCTATTAATCACTCTAAACAAGCACTTTAAAAACACCAAATATATATAGATTATTACTAAACTTAATAAAAAGAGAAGCTAGTAATACTTTTAATAGTAATAATTTTAATTTTCTTTTTAATGTCCATATTTAATTCTAAATCTTCCTTGGGCTAAAGACTAACTCACTAAGAGAATAACATTTTTACCATTCCAAGGAATTGGGATTACCATTCTAAGCAAATTGGGTGACCTCCTTGTTATGCTAAGCTTGCCCATAGACCCCATTTTTGGCTGGGTCACAACATCTGGAGCTATAGAAATAGGGAGATTTTTCTCATGACAATAATGGGACACTTTGTGATTCCCAGTCCAAACACTCGAAATGGGGTGATCTTACAGCCTGTGACCTGGACTATGTCTTTCCTTATACTTTCTGTATCTTCCCTAACTGTCAAGTCTAATTTGAGTTTGCAACCCCCCCCCACCCCCGCGAAGGACCCCAGATCCTTCCTCACTTCATTGGCACTCCTCTACTGACTGCTTCATGCTATTCTGAATTCTTTTCATGCTCTTCCAATCTGGCCAGGCCACACCTCTTGAATATATGTAAGTCCAATTGGATTCTGAGCATCCCTCCTTGTCTGTCTGGCTCCCACTGAGGTCGCTTCAATGACAGCCAGAAAGCACAAACATGGTCACTGTCGCATCATTTGTAACAGCCTAACAATTGGAAACAATTGAATCTCAGTTAGGTCACACGGAGGTAAGGGGGCAAGGGGGAAAATATACCAGTAGCTTCTCCAGGCCTAGGAAAGCCTAAGGACCAAGCAGGGGGCCATGGGTGCCCTCAAGCCAATGCTGCCCCTGGGGTGTGTATCCCACACAGCTCCTTACACCCATGCCGACCACGGTGAAGCACGGTCTGAAAGCTGCCTGGGTGGGCTGAAGTCTGGACTTTATGTGTGCACAGAGCTTGAGATGCAGAAACTCTGCAACTAGATCCGATCTGCAAGCTGTGTCTCCCACACAGGAAAAGGCTGCATAAACCCATTCCTACCGAGGGGCAGTGAGGGTGCTGGAGTGTCTATCTAGAAAGGATTTAGAGAGGGTCATTGGTTGGAAGGAGGAAGCTGGCAGACTTGGGTAGACACTGTGCTAGCATAGCAAGTACAGTGTTTTTGTTCTGAAGTGGAGATTACAGCTAACTCCCCTCCTAGCTACCCCTGGGCACTGCCTCTAGTAGGCACCAGGGGCGCACAGAGAGGGCAGAGCTGTGCTCCCCCAAAAGGACTCTCTAATGGTGGGTTTCAGGCATCAGAGCCAGGAACAGAAAATTAGCCTCAATGGAGGAGGTCCCTTGAGAGCAAAAGATCGTGTGCAAATCCCTCCCAACAAAGTATGTTCTCTGCCTTAGTGAGACGGGCAGGTTGGCAAGAATGATTGCGAATTGCTTTCCAGGTAGGAAAGCTGAAAAAGACAATGATGCCTGGGCAGGCAGTGCTTTCTAGAAGGCCTGAGGGCTTGTCCTCTGCTCCCCCAGCTGCTGAGTCTGCAGAGCACCTGGGTGGTCATTTCATTCTGTATCTAGCCAGCCCTGTCTGTAACAGTACCTGCCCCAGACAGTACCTGCCTTTATCCACTGAGCATAGAATTTATCAGCCTTCACATCTATGTATAATGCTTATTGCTGAGAAGTTGAGAGCAAAAGAGAGAACAGGAAGAAAATTCAAGAACTTAGACGCAAAAGCCGACATATCATATGATTTCATTTCTTTGAAATGCCTAGAATAGGCAGAGCCATGGAGACAGAAAGCAGATTAGTGGTTATAGGAGCTGAGGGAGGAGGTAATAGGAGTGACTTCTTACTGGGTACAAGGTTTCCTGTTGGGGTAATGAAAAGGTTTTGGAACTAGATAGTGGTGATGGTTGTATAACATTGGGAGTATATTTAATTTAATGTCACTGAATTGTTCACTTTGAAGTGGTTAAAATAATAAATTTTATGTATGTGCTATTTTTCCAAAATTTTTTAGAAATGGAAAGGTCCACTTGCTTTCCTGAGTGACCTTGGAGGGAGCAACCGCTCTGTGCTTCAGTCCCTGTAGCACAAGGCTCTCGGCCCTGCCTGTCCTCCAGGGCTGGGGAGCGTGTGAGAGCAGTAAGGGCGCAGCCACGAGCACAAAGCCCACCCGCACCGCTCACCACCGTGGGACCTGGGCAAGCCACTTAGGTTCTCTGAATCTTCACGTCGGCATCTATACACAAGTTGCTGGGAGTCCAGGCTTTTGCTGTTTGAGTTAGAAACAACATTTATAAGGAAATACACATTTATAAACCAAGCAAAAAATGTACAAGAGTGTGTGTGTGTCTGTATGTTGTGTGCATGTGTGTGTGGTGTCTGGCACGGACAGACTCACTAAAAGGGAACTGATAGAACGAATAGAAACAACCAATGAAGAACTATTATAACTGAGAAAGTTAAAAGCAGGTTGTAAAATTAAACCCTAGGAACAGAAGACAGCTAAGTGGTCCATAATTGTCAATAATATTTCATAGGAAAATAGGATTTGAACTAACCTTTAAGGAGAGGTGAGATTTGGGCAGATGGGTGTGGGAAGGGCATGCATGAGCAAAGGCTTAGAGGTGGGAGCATGCTGGGGCCAGCGAGAAGACAGGTCTGGTTGGAATAGAGTCTTTGGGGGCACATAGGGAAGGACCGGATATTGGGATTTCTTGAATGCAAGACCAAGGAGTTTGGATACCATCCTGAGGGCAATAGGGAATCATGGGTGGTTATTGAGCAGGAGAGCAATATGATGAATATTGTGACATAAGAGAATAAATCTAGCCCACCCTATGAGAAATGGTTTAGAGATAAGAGGAAAGAAGACCTGTCTGTCATTGATGGCTCGAGCCCAGAATGAGATAATGGGCCATGGGTGAGGGGAATAGACCAATCTTAGAAACACCCAGTGGAAGAATTCACAGAAGTTCTTCTGGGCTCCAGACTCACCCTGCCACCACTACTTCTTGGCTTTTGGCATCAACAATACTGGTCTAGCTATTTCTCATCTGTGGGTGTTTTCCTGGAAAAAATTAGAGTAGTGGCCAAGAAAATGATTCAGGGGACAGATGCAGAGCTCAAGTGACAAGCCTGTGTCAGCAAAGATGTGCACAAAGCTGAGTGGGAGGAAGGAGCTGGCTTTCTGCAGGACATGCAACCCCCCAAAATGGCATCTTGGCATTTGAGAAACCACCAAAAGCAGGAAGGTCACTCTCACTCTCCTTCCCTTTCCCCTGAAGCAGGTCATAAGGCCCAAGAAGGATTTTCTGACCTTAACCTAAAGCAGGTCATGCAAGAGCTGCCCTCCCTATGCCCAGAAGAAAGGAACATCCTTGTGTCTGAAGACACAGGGTCCCAGAGAGGAATGTGAACAAACAGGCCTTGCTGAGTTGCCCCAGTTTGCTACCATTAGATCATACATTTTGTGCAATCATATTTCTCCATTACTATTTACTTCTTCATTAAATCTAGCATAAAAATACATAAGGTTTAACTGTTTCTTTGGGTCTTCATTTCCTGATGAAGGCTCCCATGTCATGTAAAACTTATGTTAAATAAATTTGTATGCCTTTCTTTTGTTAATCTATCTTTTGTTATAGGGACCTCAGCTGTGAATCTAGCAACAAGTGAAGAAAAGATATTTTTCCTCCCCTGTAGGCTCAACCTTGCTCTGTGAGTTTACACGCTAGGCCTGGGTTGAGCATGAAGCACCAATGCTTGGGGCTACTCTTGCAGATCTGTGGGATGGCAGCCAGAAAACCTCATCAATTCCCAAGTGGCAGCCACAGGGTACTCTCTGGCAGGGAAAGTAGGCAGCTGCTGGTACCATGTGTTGATAACTATCTCCTCGTTCCCAGCAAGTGGCCCCAGGAGGGGATCCTCGCTCTATCAGTCAATCAGAATAGCGATTGCAACGAGCTTCAAGCCCACCCAGTAGGTGGCTATTCCACGCTAGGATATGTGGGAGTGGAGATATCTCACAGAGAGATATGAAAACTATCTGAATGCATGCTGAAAACTACAAAACATTGTTGAAAGCACTCTTTTAAAAATGAACTCTCAAAACTCAACAAGAAAACAAGAAACCCAATTTTTTTAAATGGGCAGAAGATTGAAACAGGCTCTTCTTTAAAGAAGATATACAGATGGCTAATAAACATATGAAAAGATGCTCAACATCACTAGACATTGAGAAATGCAAATTAAAATTATGATGAGATATCACTACATACCTATTAGAATGGTTACAATTGAAAAAAATCGACCATTCCAAATGTGGAAAGGATGTAGAGCAATTGGAACTCTTATACACTGCTGGTGGGGGTGTAAAATGATCAAATCCCTTTGAAAAACAGTTTGTTGGTTTCTTACAAAGTTAAGCATACATTTATCATAAGGTCCAGCATGGAAATAACCCTAAAGTCCATCAACTGGGGAGTGGCTAAACAAACTGTGGTGCACCCACACAATGGACTACGACTCAACGATAAAAAGGAATGAACTAGTTCATATTAATACAAGCAACAATATAGATGAACTTCAAAATAATTATGCCAAATTAAAGAAGTTACACTAAAAAAAGCACATAGCGGCCGGGCGCAGTGGCTCACGCCTGTAATCCTAGCTCTCTGGGAGGCCGAGGTGGGCGGATTGCTCAAGGTCAGGAGTTCAAAACCAGCCTGAGCAAGAGCAAGACCCCGTCTCTACTATAAATAGAAAGAAACTAATTGGCCAACTGATATATATATAAAAAATTAGCCGGGCACGGTGGCACATGCCTGTAGTCCCAGCTACTCGGGAGGCTGAGGCAGCAGGATCACTCGAGCCCAGGAGTCTGAGGTTGCTGTGAGCTAGGCTGACGCCACGGCACTCACTCTAGCCTGGGCAACAAAGCGAGATTCTGTCTCAAAAAATAAATAAATAAATAAATAAGGTCCAGCATGGAAATAACCCTAAAGTCCATCAACTGGGGAGTGGCTAAACAAACTGTGGTGCACCCACACAATGGACTACGACTCAACGATAAAAAGGAATGAACTAGTTCATATTAATACAAGCAACGATATAGAGAACTTCAAAATAATTATGCCAAATTAAAGAAGTTACATTAAAAAGAGCACATAGCGTTCCATTCTAGAAAATGCAACTCATCTGTGGTTTGATCAGCGGTTGGCTGAGAATAGTGGGAAGGGGGGGGCAGGAGGGAGGAATTACGAAGGGGAACAAGGAAACTCCGGGGAAGATGTTCACTGTCTTGATTGTGGTGATGGTTTCACAGATATGTACACACATATAAAACTCATATAAACATATAAAACTCATAAAATTGTACGCGTTACACACGTGCAGTTTGTCGGTTTTGTTTGTCAATTATGCCTCAATAAACCTGTATGGGGAAAAACAAGCTTCCAAATTCTCTGCATTCTATTCAGGGTAAAAGCCAAAGTCCGTGTAGTGGTCAAACTGCACAGCCGACTTCCCTCTGCCCACAGTGCTGCTTCTCCAGCTTGCAGAGCAGTGCCTGGGTCACAAAAAGAAGTGTTTGTTGAATGACTGCCTAGCTGGACTCCAGTTAATAGTAGTAGTAGTTTGATAACTGTCGTTAAGAACAAGAAGGGGCCGGGCACGGTGGCTCATGCCTGTAATCCTAGCACTCTGGGAGGCCGAGGCGGGCGGATTGCTCAAGGTCAGGTGTTCGAAACCAGCCTGAGCAAGAGCGAGACCCCGTCTCTACTATAAATAGAAAGAAATTAATTGGCCAACTGATATATATAGAAAAAATTAGCTGGGCATGGTGGCGCATGCCTGTAGTCCCAGCTACTCGGGAGGCTGAGGCAGAAGGATTGCTTGAGCCCAGGAGTTTGAGGTTGCTGTGAGCTAGGTTAACGCCATGGCACTCTAGTCCAGGCAACAGAGTGAGACTCTGACTCAAAAAAAAAAAGAAAAATTGTGGTGATGGTTGCATATATCTGTGAATATAATAAACACCATTGAATCATATACGTTAAATGGGTGAATTGTATGATGGATAAATTATATCTTAATAAAGCTGTTTAAAAATAAAGAGCAAGATAGTACGTCAGGGAAGGCACAGCTATCACTCAGAATGTGCGTGGAGAGTGACCCCTTTTGGCTGTCAGAACCCTATCGAGTACCCCCTGAGAATGGGGGTGGCCCAATTTCTCCCGCAGAGAAGGGGCTCAGGGCCCAGAGAGGGCGCTGGGATGGAGGAAGGGCTCTTTCTCCTGGGACAAGCAGATGAAAGCAGTTGCTCTAGCTCTGCAGCCCACGGCTGGGGCCTTGGCTGCTGCCATCAGCTGTATTGAGTGACGTGACGTCCCCCAATTGCCTCACAAGGATAATACCTTCTATTTATACCAAACACCTCTCCTCCCAGGAGAGTGCTGTGTTTTCCCAACATTGATTCAGTAAGCCAGCCAGACTGAGTTGAATTAAGATTCACAGCAGCCGCTCACACAAGCCTACCCCTTCCCCTGCCTGCCCACTCCTGCCCGCACTGCTGAGATGCTCGCGGCAGTGGGCGAGTCAGAAACCCTGGACTTCCTGCCCCGCCGAGGGACCTCCCCCCACCCTGCTCCAGGCTGGGGGGATGAGGGTTGTGCCACCCGGGGGCCCTCCTCTCGTGGGAGACACATAACGCAGAAGAGAGGGGCCTTCAAGTGTGGCTCCCTCCCCCCTTCCAGACAGATCCATTTAAAACCACAACTCAGAGTGAGAACTGCTGAGGAGGGGGCATCGGACACAAGAGAGAACTAGGCTGAGGGTAGCACTGGAGTCCTTTCTAATTCTTAATATATACCACATAGGCAGCTATTTTGTCTAAACAAAAGGGCGACGCTGGCTCCAGGTGGGCAGGAACAGAGGCTTCTCCCCTGGGCAGCCCGGGCTTAGTGGAGAAGTGGTGGCTCTGCGGGTCCTCCCCTAGAACAGCCCATGGCCCTCTCTGTGCCCCTGTCCTGCCCGCCCAGCAAATGCCTAGGAGCTGGGGGAGGGTTGCACACATGTGTGTTTAAGAAAGACAGAGACACCTCAAAGCTGCTCAGCCCCCCAAGGCCCCTGGGAATAGACGTGGGGGGCACTTACGGGGCTCCTGGTGGTTTGGATGGAACTGGCGTCCCCAGCCTCGGCATTTAGACGGGAAGCTGCCTCGTCCATCCAGTCCTGGGGAGCTCCAGCACACGACGGGCCAGCCGTGGGGAGCACCCCTTATCGTGCCTGTCAGTAACAACTGCTTCACCTCCTGGGCGGTCACAAGAGGACACCAGCGCTAAAAGGACTGCCCTCCGGGACCCACCCCCACACGCCGCTGCGCTCAGCCGAGAAAGCAGCACGCAGGCTCTGAGAGCAGCGACCAGGACCAGAGCAGGTGGACTGGATTATCTCTGTGCCTCCTGCCAGCTGCAAAATCCTACACTTTTATGAAGATTCAGAGAGAGCAGGAAAGCCTGGGAGCAGGGTAGAGTGAAAAGTGCTCAGGAATTGAGACTGTCGGTGTAATCATTTAACAGGCCTTCTCATTTGTCACTTGAGAAACTTGAGACCCAGAGAGAGAAAGGGACTTGCTTAAGGTCGCATACTGGGTAGCTGGCAGATAAAGTCCAGTGTCCTGGCCCTGGTTCAACTCTCTCCATGGGCACCCCATGCCTCAGTCTGCTTGGGCTGCTCTGACACAATACCATAAACCAGGTAGCTTATAAACAGCAGAAATTTATTTCTCACAATTCTGAAGTCTGACAGGTCCAAGATCAAGGCACTGGCAGATTCTGTGTCTGGAGGGGTCACCTTCTCATAGAAGGTGTCTTTTTTGTGTGTCTTCACATGGGGGAAGAGGTGAGGCAGCTCTCTGGGGTGTCTTAAAGGGCACTAATCCTATTCAGGAGGGCTCCACCCTCCTAATCTCCACTCAAAGACCCCACCTCCTAATACCATCACCTTGGGGGTGAGGATTTCAACACACGAATCTTGGGGAGGACACAAACACTCAGACCATAGCACCTATTATGGTCATTCCCATATCTGATGATGGCTGGGGTGGCTGTGACCTTAACCAATTTGGCCCCCAAGCCCTGGAACTATAGAGACACAGACCATCCCACAGCCTTGAACCTGCCTGAAATTCTGCCCACCAGCCTGTGACCTCTCAGCACTGCTCTGGGGCGGGCTACTGAGGCAGAAGGCACAGATGAAATGACCGACAGACACCAGCCAGGCGTGCCTCCCCCAGCAGCTGAGCAGGGACTGTTCTGGGGTCTGTGTGAATGTGGAAGGGACCCAGTGCCGAGGGAGGGGACAGAGGCAAAGGAAGCCTCAGGAGTGCTCCGTAGGAGGTGGGGCTGGGGGGGCAACTGGCCGCCTCCTCTCTGCTCCCGCTTAGCTGCACCCCCTTCCCCACCAGCCCAGAACCCTCCTTCTGGCCTGACTGGCCTAAAGATGGTCCATGTAGACTGTTTCCTCTCTGGGGAAAAAACCCAAACTGCACAACAGAAAGCTTTGACAATCACAACTTACCCTTCTGTGAAACCCTACTGAGTACAGATTTGCTTCTTTGTGCTGTGTCCTCTGCCCGGAGCACTCCAGCCCAGGTCGCATGTTCACACTGATGCCTGTCTCACTACACAGCCCCGGGGGCTCCACTTGTTGGGCCAATTCTGGAGCCAGGCTGCCCAAGTTCAAACCCCAGCTCTGACATTTGCCCAAGGTCAAGCCCTGGCTCTAACATTTGCTAGTTGTATAACCTTGGGCAAATGACTCAATCTCCCTGTGCCTCAATTTCCTCATATGTAAGATGGTAAGGACTGTAATCTACTAAAAGGGCTGTTGTGAGGACTAAATGGGTTAATCTATCTAAAGCACTTAAAATAGTGCTTGCAACATAGCATGTGCTATGACAACTTACATAATTTGTCTCATCTGTGGTTGAAATTCTGTTTGTGTAATTTGAGTACAGGTTTTCTTTATCATTCAATGGAAAATATTTACAAAAGCTTCCATAGAATAACTGGTTCCCCAATTCCATGTTTAAAAAATCAGGTCTTAAGTTTCTCAGCTTAGAATTCTTTTGTTACAATGGTGTTTGGGACATTTGGGGTCCAGGGGGCCCTGTAATTTATACTCAACCGTGTGTCTCATGGATGTCTGGGGGCTGAAGATGAGAATTTGAGCCAACTGTCTGAAGTGGAGCTGCCGTAAGGAATTTCATTAATTAGGGCTTGTGGTTGCCATTCTCTCCTGAAATGGCCACACTGGTGTCTTCAATGCTTGCACCTTCTAGTGCTTTCCAGTGTTCCAGGGATGCTGGGCTTTGCTCAGGAAATATGACAGCAACAAGTACAATCCACATGCAGAGAACATCCAGCACATTCTCTCTCCTTCACCAGCAGAGATGACCAGCAGGTCAGAGAAGCCCAGCTCACCCCTTCAGGCCACTCACGAGTAAGGACAGGTCAGAAGCTTTTTTCTCCATCAAAAGGCTCCCACTGCCAACTCAGGTTTTCATGATGAACAAATGAGCCCGTGTGTGAAGGGCTTTGAAAAGTTATTTTTGCCACAGTCTGACTGCAGTCCTAATAATGCCTCCTCTCCTAGCTGCTTTCTGTTTTGCAGGTATTTGCCCAAGCTCAGTTGCTAGCAAAGTGGACAGATGGATGTGTTAGAGTTGACACATACCAGGTCTAGAAGCTTCTCCTTCTTCAGCCTCTGCTTGAGCAAGAAAAAGACAAACAGCAAAAGAAACAAACCCCATCAATCCAAGACTACTAATTGGTGCTTGATTATAATTCAGATGTGGTCTGTGGTTATAAATACTGCCATTTAACTTATAACGTTTGCCAATGGGGGAGTGACTGAAGAATAGCAAGAGAATTTGGGATAAAAGCAAATTAGAAAATAAGAAAAGGGCGGCTGGGTGTGGTGGCTCACACCTGTAATCCCAGCACTTTGGGAGGCTGAGGTGGGAGGATCTCTTGAGACCAGGAGTTCAAGACTAGGCTAGGCAACATAGTAAGAGACCCTATCTTCACAAAGTTTTTTATAGTATTTTATTATTCCCTCATATTTTCATCATTTCTATCAAAAGGCAAGATTATAACACATTTAGTTAAATGATCTCATTGGCTTTTATCTGCAATTCATGAATTGGATTTGACATCTCCAAAAATTTAGAAAAGTTGCTCCCATGGATACAGGAAAGTGGACCCTAAAATGGGGATCTAGCCTGAAGACCAAGTGGATTCTTGGCTTCCCACAGGACAGAACTCAAGAGCAGACAGAGCAAGGCAAAAGCAAGTTCACTGAGGTAAGAAAAGAAAAAGAGAGAGGAGGCTGCCTCTGAGACACAGCAGCAGCTATGTCTAGAGCAACAGAGAATAGCACCTTGTAAGGTTCTGGGTTTTATTTTATATGTTTCATTTAATTTTATGTTAAGCAGAGGGAGGATTGCTCATTAGATTTCTGGGGAAGGGGTGGGGAGTTTCCAGAACTGAGGGTTCCTCCTCTTTTTAAACTATATAGGGTAACTTCCAGGAGTTGCTCTATGGCATTTGTAACTGGCATGGCATGGCAGGGGCGAGTTTCGTTTAGTATGCCGACACCTTACCGCCGGTGTCATGAGCAGTGAGGGTAGCTGAGGTCCTTTTTTGTGGCCATCTTGGTTCCAGCTGGTTTCAGCCTGCTCTCCACCACCTCTGTCTTCTCAGAGACCTTGGGGCGGGTCTTATGACTCCTTCTGGAACAGGGCCTGCTGGTTCCCTGTCTCGGGATGAGCTGACCAGAGGAGGTTGGCTTTATAGGCAGAAAGACTGAAGAAAGAAGAAACAGGGAACAAAAAGAGGATTGGTTAGCATCAGGTTACTTCAGTTCCCTTCCTTGTAAGGGTTAAAGCAGAGGGGACTTCCTCATCGTGAGGGCTGTCTCTCTGTGTCTCTCTGTGTCTCCCTGTTTCTCCTGATTCCAGGTAAAGTCAGATAAACAACTTAGTTTCTGTTTGATGACGTGGAACTTCAGCACGAGTGACTCCATGTTGCTTTGATCTGTCGGGCCTAGGGCAGGAGCTGAGTCCAAACCAGTGGCCTCCTATCAATTGTATTCAACAGTTCTTTCATAAAAATATTGAGCTAAATCTATACAACATAAAATTCACAATTTTAACCATTTTAAAGTGTACAATTGAGTGGGTTTTAGTATATTCACAATATGGTGCAACCATTACCACTACCTAATTCCAGAACATTTCCATTACCCCAGAAAGAAAGCTTATGCCTTCCGTTTCCCTCCTCTCCCCAGCCCCTGGCAAATACGAATCTATTTTCTGTCTCTATGGATTTGCCTGTTCTGGAAATTTCATATAAATAGGAGCACATGATATGTGACCTTTCCTTTCGTCTTCTCTTGAGCACCCACCCACCATGCGCCAGGCACTCTGTGAATGTCTGTCCTCCAGGGGTGCCAGCCAGCCAGGGAGAGGACCTGCAGAGTCAATGGTGTCCTGGCATTTCTTTTGCTATGTTGACGAAGGAAAAGGGGTTTTCTAGTAAAGAAGAAGGAAGAATCTTCCAGGAAGAGAGAACAGGGAAGAGATGTTGTGCTGTTTGGGGAAGGCTGACGGGTTCCTTGGGGCTGTCGCATCACGTGTACGGAGGGTGGGGAGAGACTGGGGAGGAAGGAGGTAAGGCACCAGGTAGGTGAGGTCAGCAGGAGCCTTGGGGGCTCCCCTAGACTCTGGGGAGCCAGCAGAGGCCAAGCGTCTGTTTTAGGAGGAAACCAGCCAGGGAGGGTGGATCACAGAGGGAAGAAGCTCAAATGGAGGAACAGAGGATGCAACACTCCCGCTCTGGCAGTGGCCGTGGGCTCAGGCAGCAGGAAAGGTCCATGTCAGAGGAATTTCTTTTTATTTTTTTTTTATTTTTTTTATTTTTTTCTTTTTCAAATCAATCCATATAGAAGCCAATGTCAGAGGAATTTCTAAGGCTGAATGGACAGTAGTTGGGTGTCTGCCTAGAAGGGGCAGGTGCAAGAGAGAGGGAGTTAGGGTGCTGGACCAGGCTCCTCCAGCGCACAATGAGACTTTGGGAGAGGCAGAGGCAGCCTGTGAACCCAGTACCCTCTGCTTAGAACTCCACAGCTTCCCCTTCTTCTGAGGAATTCTTATGGGGCTTCCAAAGCCCTGCAGGGTCAGGCGGTGTCTTCTGCAGTTCTCTTCTCCTGCCAACAGCCTTGGAACGCCGTCCCCCTCTTCCTGGTCAGTACCTGCCCATCTCAGCCCTGCCTAGGCCAAATCCTGCTATATGCATCTTCCAGAAGCATGCAGTCCTTCCTCCACAGTGTCACCATGGTCACTTATCATTTACTTGTGCAATTTTTGATCCTGAAGCTCCATGAAGGCAGGGACCAAGTCAATTCTGGCCCTTACATCCAGCACCTAGCCACATATCGGGCATATGGTTGGTGTCTCGTAATACTTGTTGGAAAAGGGAATGAGCAAACCAAACGGGGATCTTTCCAATGAATCTGAGGCCCTTTCAGGTGTAGTTTCTGTTAAGGGCAATGGGAAGAGAGGAGAGAGTCACTGGAATCCTGGCATTTTCACCGGGGGCCTCCTCCACCCCAGCCTGGGCCTTTCTCCTGATAAAATTGGCTTTCCAGGAATGCCAGGGCCCAGCTGCAGCTCCCAGGGCAAATCCGGCTAGTGCTTCAGCTGGTTGATTACCCTCAGGTTACAGTACATTATGCTTTTTACATATAACATAATGAGGGCTCATACAGTGACACAGCCCCTCCCCAGATTGTAGCCACTGTCCAAGAGTGCATTGAGTCATCACTTTCCCTCCTGCTCAATATGCTTGGAAAGACTTGAACTTTCCCAGCAAACCTTTCCAGAGCAGGTCCCTCCTGTCTCCTTTTTCATTCTCCCTCATCTCTCCACCGGGCAGTTCTCCTCCAATTATTCTACTACACGGTGTGAGTTGCTGATCGTGCTGAATGGAAGGATCTGCATATTCACTGAGAGTCCAGGGGACTCGGATGCAGCAAGGTCAGGACCGCAGGGAGGGAAAACACAGTCCATTTCACCCCAGCCAGTCCAGGGGATGGTTGGCTTGCTGGAGATTGCAAATGCGCTGCTGAGTGAGCACCTTTGACTGCCCACCCCCCCAGCTTAGCTTCCTTATCTGACTTTCCAACCACCCCCAGTGGCACTCTCAACCTTCCTCCTCCCCAGCTGTTGAAATAAAAGCAATCTGTAATGACTTAGAATCTCGAATAGCACAGTGCCTGGCACAGAGTATAGATGTGGAAATATTTGTTGCATAGGTAGAAGGAAGGAAGGGGGTGGAGGAGCGAGGGAGAAGGGAAGGGAGGGAGGGAGGGAGGGACGGAGATAGGCTGACCACACTCATTCCCTCAGATTGAGAGAAGACCTTCTATCCACAAGGAACATTCCTTCCCCCAGAAGCCCTATTGACTTTAGTAATACCTAGAAAGGCATCCCCAAGCCTCTTCTCTGAACCCCATCCTCATATCCACTGCCACCAATCCTACCCTTCCAAACATCAGTCCCCACTCCACACCCCTCCTCTGACTGCCCCAGAACTCATTTTTGGGCTACTAGCAACGAAAACAGCCCCATTTCCCCCCTCAGTTCTTTAAATCGAGCATCATGTTCTGTGCTGTGATCCATCCTCAGCATGGGAGTTTTAATTAACATCTAATGAACAAATCTCTTGTCTTTGCACGTGTTTCACAACCCGCAGCCAAGTTAAGAAATGAAGAATGGTTTGGTTATAAGAACAATCGCTTCCATAAACTCTGTCCACTCTCCAGCACTGACTTCCTTTCCTTTCTCCGTGGGGCCTCGCCCCACTTTTGAAAGTTGCCCAGCCAACACAAGTGTGCAAACCCTCTAAAAAGATCAGTTCAATATTCTTAGACCTCTGACTCATTCAAATGATAAGATATTAGCGTTTGAATATTCAAGAACACTCAGCAAAAGAGATTGGGCAACAGTAGGCCAAATGCATAAAGGTTAAATCTCTCCTATTAAAGAAGATTAGAGAGAAGATAGGCATTTCTCTATTATGCAAGCTCATTTCATCATCTTTCTCCTTTGCACTGTGGCTTCCATCCTCAAAGTCACTTCCTGATCAAGATGGCAGCTCCAGCCATTACATCCACGTTCTAGGAAGCATGACTGAGGAAGAAGAAATGGTGAAAGGACAAAAAGGACCTCCTTCCCATAGAATTAGCTTCCTTTATGCGGCTTTCTTGAAGTCCTGCATAATATTTTGCTAGAACGTAAAAACAATCTCACCTTACTACAAAGGAGGCTGGAAAATAGGGGTTTTTAATTGGGCACATTGACACTTCAAATAAAATAGGTGCTCTGTTACTAAAAAAAAGAGGTAGAACATGGATTTGGGAGTGAACTAGCAGTCTCACTGAGAAGCCAAATCCAAATATTTACTGATATTTTAATGGAGAAATAAACAAAGGAGTGATGAACAAAGGACGGAGGAGAGGGCAGAAGGGGAAATCTTAAAAATCCAGCAACACCTGCCAATGTGAAATTCAGCTAAAACTTTATTTTGAGGAACACTGTGCCAGCAAATGATACCTTATATATATTTATTAACATGAAAGTAATGTAAGCTCCATGTTCATTGATCGATCCCACGTACTTTGAATAGTGCTTGGCACATAGTAGTAGGTGCTCAACAAATATGTTTGAATTGAAATATTTTTTGAATTGCATATGATGTTAAATTTAAAAAGTAAGTTTAAAGCAGTATGCAAAATAACCCATAATTTTAATGAAATCAAATATGTGTGTAAATGTATAGATAGATACACAGACACATAGATAGAGCCAGCCAGCCAGGCAAGGGAGTCATTAAAATGATTGATAACAGTAATTCTCTCTTGATAATGGGATAGAATTTGGGGTAATTTTTATTTTCTTATTTTTTGGTCTTCTGAATTTTCCAATTATTCTAAGTTAATTATGCATTACTTTATAGAGTTTTTTAAAGTTATATCAAAATTTAATTATGCATTACTTATATAGTCTTAAAAGTTATATCAAAATTCATATGAGACAAAATCAATACATGTATGGCTTTACCAACAGAAAAAAATCTGGATCAGATTTTAAAATAATAAAAAATCAATTGCTGAGTGTGCTGGCTCATACCTGTTATCCTAGCACTTTGGGAAGCCGAAGTAGGGGGATCACTTGAGGCCAAGAGTTCAAGACAAATGTGAGCAATATTAGCAATACCCTGTCTCCACAAAAAAACCAAAAAATTAGGTGGGTGTAGTAGTGCATGCCTATAGTCCCAGCTACTTGGGAGGCTGAGGCAGGAGGATGGCTTGAGCCCAGTAGTTTGAGGTTGCTGTGAGCTGTGATGCTGTTACTGCACTTTAGCCTGGATGACAGTGAGACTCTGTCTCAAATTTTAAAAGTAAAAAATTGAAATAGATATTTTAAAATCAGTTCTTAAAAACAAGTACTTCTTAATAAAGAGTGATTCAGTGTTAGAAGAGAGGACTCCATGGGAGATATTCAGACAAGGATCCCACAGCTTTCTGGACAAGGAGTCTCCCTAAGGCTTTAGAGCTCCTCTTAGCCCTGGGATTCTGGTCTTCATTTCCAGACTCCTTACAAACAGGCCAAGATCAGCAGCTTCATTAATCCTCAAATATCATGATGACATAGAGATGACAGTGCATTCTTCCCAAAGGCAGACATGGTCCAGGGAGGTTTTAACACTGCAGCCCCTAACTTCGCACCCAATGTGTTCCTCATTTGTCCTTTTCCTCTACAGACATAGCTTATGCCTCTCAGTATGGCAGTGTTTGCAGGGAAACTGAAAGTTTGCCATGAAATTGGTTCCATCAAACCCAAGCCCATGTACTTTAGATATCTGACTTTCACTCTGGAATTAATAAAAAATTACCTTTGGGTTTCACAGCTTCGGTTATTATATACACTACAGTTGTACTGAGAGGCTGAGAAGCTAGCCAGTGGGGTATGGATTATGAGAGACTCTTCCCTCTCCTCTCACCCTCAATCACCATCAGCCCACTACAGTTCCTTGAACACATATGCTTTTTTGCTTTTTTTTCCCTTCACACTTGTACCAAGGTCAGTTTTCCTGGCTGGGATGTTCCTTCTCTTCTAGTCTATCCTAACCTTACCCATCCTTCAGGCCCAGCCTACATTCTTCCTGCTATCCAAAGCTTCCTCAGACCCCTGCAGCCCTCACGACAGGCTCCCTTCTCTGACCTCCCACGATCAGCACCACGCAGTCAGCTCCTAACTGCATCTGCTGTGTCTTAGTCCTTACTGCTTCATACATGTGCGTCTTGTCTCCCCAAAAAACTCTAAGCTCTCACACGGAAAGCAGGGCGCATCACATACACAGAGTTCATAGTACACTGCTTTGTACCTGGTAGATTTTCCATAAATATCTGTTCATTGATTATTTGGAAATACACCCCAAGACCACTGAACAATTATAGTAATTTTTCACAAGTGGAGTCATAAGACACAGACTCTCACAACCCAACTATCTGCTGTCATCTATAAGAGACTTACCTAAGTTCTAAAGACACAGATAGGTTGAAAATGAAAGAGTGGAAAAAGATATTCCATGCAAACAGTTACCAAAGAGAGCTATGGTAGCTATACTAACACCAAACAAAATAGACTTTAAGTCAAAAGTTGTTAGAAGAGACAAAAAAAATGACATTATACACAGATGTTCCTCAACTTATGATGAAATTATGTTCTAATAAACCGATTGTAAGTAGAAAATATTATGTCAAAAAGTGCACTTAATACACCTAACCTACCAAACATCATAGTTTAGCCTAGCCTACCTTAAACATGCTCAGAACACTTATAGTAGCCTATAGTTGGGCAAAATTATCTAACACAAAGCCTATTTTATAATAAAGTATGGAATATCTCCTGTAATTTATTGAATATTGTACATTAAGTCAAAATTGTGATGGTTTTACACCACAATAAAGTAAAATATCGTAAGTCAAACCATCATAATACCATGTGTAAAAAGGTAAATCCATCAAGAAGCTATAACAATTATAAACATATATGCACCAAACAACAGAGCCCCAAAGTATATGACACAAACATTGATAGAGTTGAAGGAAGAACAAGATAGTTTTACAATAATAGTTGGAGACTTCAATATCTCACTTCCAATAATGGATAGAACATCTAGACACAGATCAATAAGGAAATAGAGGCTTATTTCCCATAAGTTTTTTTCCAAAAAAACCCAAAAAACTCCCTCTTCCAAATGCCAACTGGAAAACAAAGGAGCAAGGTATTGTAAATGCTATCACAAGTGCTATTGTAAGAGCCACTATACCATTTGTGACATTGCTTGTCTGTCACCACTCAAATGCACTTTATCATGAGGTACCACCTTGAGCACCAAGGTTGCTTTCTTTTTAGGTCACAAGTCCAGGCTCAACCCTTGTCTTCAAATCCCACACAGTTCCAGGGAGATTGACCTACAAAGCATCCAGCATCAGTTATGCCCTGTGCCACCAAAGTACCTTGTCTGAGCCTGAGCCTCAAGTCAGACTTCTCCTTCCTCAGAATAATTTCATTTCAAGAGGCTGTTCTCCCAGTTCCTGGGCTGTGGCCAGACACCCTCCCCCTTTTCTCAGCAAGACTCCTTGACCTTAAATTCAGGGAAGACAGATCAGATGTCTTTGCTTTCCATCTCAGAAGGCCCTGGGTGAAATTGGTTCCCTCCTTCCCAGCCACCAGCTCTGTGAAACATGATGTGAGAAAACATTTGCCAAATCACTTAAAACATAAAAGATTTTATGAAACCCTAATTCCAGGAGAACAGCAAGAGGAGGTTTGCTGCATCTACACAACTAAAAGGCAATTCAAGTGACCCTTTACCGGATAGAGATAATCAGCTTCTCCAGATTAAAAAAAAAAAAAAAGTATCCTGTTACACAGCTAACCACCAATGAGTAATGCAGACAGTGAGTATTAGAGGAGTGATCTTCCTGTTCTGAGAACAGGAAGATCAAAGAGGTTTGGAAGCACCCAGGACATAGTTTTGCATCTGCTACTTGGTATGCAGACTTTTTCATCAAAATTCTACTATTACAGATTACTTTTTAAGAGAAAGTATTTTCTGGAGCAAATTTCTTTATTCAAACTTAATTTCAAAATTTTCTTTATAGCACAGCTAAACCATTCCAATTTTCCCATTTTTTAAAAGATGACTATCTTTGATTTTCCTAAACCATTTTTTCAAAATTTTTATTTATATATTTATTTATTGAGACAGAGTCTCACTCTGTTGCCTGGGCTAGAGTGCCATGGCATCAGCCTAGCTCACAGCAACTTCAAACTCCTGGGCTCAAGCAATCCTTCTGCCTCAGCCTCCTGAGTAGCTAGGACTACAGGCATGCACTACCATGCCTGGATAATTTTTTCTATATGTTTTTAGTTAGCCAATTAATTTCTTTTTATTTTTTTTAGTAAAGAGGGGGTTCTCACTCTTGCTCAGGCTGGTCTCGAACTCCTAACCTCAAGCTATCCTCCTGCCTCAGCCTCCCAGAGTGCTAGGATTACAGGCATGAACCACCACGCCTGGCCAAAAATTTTTATTTATTTATTTTTTAAGAGACAGAGTCTCACTCTGTCACCCAGGCTCACTGCAACGTCAAACTCCTGGGCTCAAGTGATCCTCCTGGGTTAGCCTCCTGAGTAGCTGGGACTACAGGAGCATACTACCATGCCTGGCTAATTTTTCTATTTTTTGTAGAAATGGGATCTTGCTCTGGCTCAGGCTGGTCTCAAACTCCTGGCCTCCTAAAGTGCTAGGATAACGGGTGTGAATCACTGTATTTTTTTATTTTAAAGAAATTGTTTTTCTTGGGATTAATTTTTTTCTATTTCCATTTTTTCAATGAAGATTTGTTCAATTAGTGGTATTGTATTTGTTTTTTAATGGCTTTATTTAGGTATAATTCACATACCATACAATTCATCCATTTAAAGTGTACAATTTAATGTTTTCAGTATTTCAGTATATTTAGAACATTTTCATCACCCCCCAAAGAAACTCCATACCCACTAGCAATCATTCCCATTCCCCCTGGAACCCCAACCCCAAGCAACCACTAAGTTGTTCTATCTTTATGGACTTGCCTATTCTGGACATTCCATACAAATGGAATCACACAATATGTGGTCTTTTGTGACTGGTTTCTTTCACTTGGTATGTTATCAGATTCATGCATGTTGTAGCACATATTAACACTTCATTCTTTTTTTGTTGCCAAATGTTTCATTGTGTGCATATACTATATTTTATTTATCCATTCATCAGTTGATGGACATATGGGTCATTTCTACTTTTTGGGTAATATAAATAATGCTGCTATGAATATCCATGTATAAATTTTGTGCATGTACATTTTTATCTTGGGTATATACCTAGGAGTCAATTTGCCAATTGGTTGCATTTGACCTTACCTAATTTTCCTGGCTAACACTTTTGCATTGTATGTTCTTTTATAAAAAAACAGAAAGACACACAGAGAGGGATAGAAAGAAAGACAGAGAGAGGTTGTACCTGTTCAGGTATCTTCTCTGAAATTCTTGAGTACATGGCAGATTCAATAATGATGGGGTTCCAATGATGGCATCAAAGTGATTGGGTGAAAATATCCTACAAAGGAGAAGTTTTATGTAAAAAAAAATTTCTAATCTGAGTTGAGCCGGTGTTTTTTTAAAGAACTGTAGTGAAGAAGAAAGAAGATGGCATTCTATTAGGGGCCACCGCACAAGCAAAAGCCTGGTGACTGGGTTGAGTATGGAGTACTTGGGGAATAAGTAAAAGGTAGTAGACGGTGAGGTTGGAATAATTTGTTGGGAAACCCATCATCAAGGGCTTTGAATGCCAACCTCAAGGGTTTAAAGGCTAAATTCCTTATAGCTTTGAAGGAACCATTGGAGACTGTGGTTTAGGGACATAAGTCATGTGATCAGATCGGATGTTCATGATCACAGCAATGACTGGCAGGTGCAGGCAGGATGGACCTAAGCAGGGAGACATCTGACACAGCATGCCCTCATCCTTAGGAGGCTGCTGCAGCAATTCAGGGCTGAAGGAAAGGCTTTGAGCACAGCCAGCTGGAAGTCAGTAGCTTAAATATTGATTCAGTGGGCAAAAGCCGCATTCATCATGGGGCTGGTTCCCTAAAGGACCCGTGCCTATGTGCAGGGAACTCATCATTTCCCTATTACATAAATTGATTAGGTCATCAGAGTCAAGATTGATGCCAGAGATTTACTGCTAATCAGGCAAGAATAACAAGTTGGAGGACAAGGCAGGCTCTCTGCCAACTGGGCAAGGAGCTTGTCCCAGAGGCACAGAACACTGCAGCAAAGCACCCTGTCCCTGCTTGGGAAGTCTGGGTAGAGACAGCCTCTGAGAGGCCTGGCAATGCCCTTCAGCTGGATCTGGAGTCTCCAGGGCCAACTCCTGGAACGACACTTCTCAAAGCTGTCAGAGCTGACCAGCCAAGTGGAATCCAGCCCTAGAGGTCCATGGCTGGGCTGTCCTGGCTGCCTGCAGAAGCTTGTAAGGGTGGGGATACGGGAAACAGAGCCTAGGGCAGCATCTGTGCAGAGTCCAAGGGAAGCAAAGACTTGGAGAAAGAACAGTTGACTTCATTTTGACAATAATAATAATAGTCTGCAATGACAATAATTTGTGTTTGTATAAGCCTCCCACTGTGCTCCAGAAAAGGAGGAGGTTCAGCTTTCTGGGTGGATGAGATATTCTTCCTCTCACACAAAACCTCCCCTGCCCCATTCTAAGAAGAACCGTGTAAAACTAGCCATCTGCCACCCAGTGCTAGGAAGCCTAGTTCTGAATACGGTGGTGGTGGCATCTCTCCTCTTCTATCCCCTCCCAAACACAGAGGGGGAGTGCAGTTTGCTCCACCTATAAACTGGAGCAGCATTTCTGACAAGCCCTAAGTCTCCAATACACCCTCGTTTTGGCAAATCAACGTCCTAAGTCAGACACCTTTCAGCTTTTCTGCAGCTCTCCTGCCCCCAGCCCACCTCGCAGTCTGTGTCGGGCTGGGGTCAGAGGAACCTGGTTTCAAAGTGGTGCAACGCTCAGTGAGTGGTGGAGGGAACATTTTGAGCACCCTGACCCAGCTGACTGATGCTACTGCCACCCACGTTTTGGGTTGAACTTAGCTTGGAGGGCTTCCTATTTCTGGAGGCCAGAGAGCCTGGATTGGGGATGGATGGAGTGGGCTGTGGGGGGCGCTCCGCATTTCGCTACACTTCACCCACCTGGGGTATCTAAGCACAGTCACCATCGTTATCTTTATTTTCTGCCACCTATATCATATCATCATCATGAGGGTCCTCCTTCCCACAGCCAGTAGAAGCGAAGAGGACAGAGAAGGAGCTGTCTGCCCCCAAAAAGATGGTTTTCTGGCTTTACCGAGGGTGTTCCTCGCCACAAAATTTTGTGGCCCCAGCAAAACCGGCAAGTGTCCAGCAGAGAAGCGCCCGTGGCAGCGCAGAGCACCGCCGTCTTTTCCTGCCGCGGTGGGGCGGAGGGGCCACCATTTCGCCGAGGCGCTCCAGAGCGTACCGGTCCCCGCGCCGCCCGGGGGCGCGGCTAGTGAGCTTCCCCTACACCTCCTCCATTCCCCCACCCATTACCGCAGCGAAGGTCTTACTCAGTCTCCCTCCCCTGGGCTGCTGGGGTAGGTGAACTGGGGTAGCTAGAGGAGAGACCAGGCAGCCCGCCAGGCCTGGGAGCTTTCTCCTCCGATGGCACCTCGGTCCCCCACCCGCTCTTGACTCCTCCCCTGTCTCCGTTCCGCAGCGTCCCCGCCCTGTCAGCACCCTGCTTCAGCGACTGCACCTGCCTCGGGTTGGGGAGGGGCACGCGGGAGGTAGAGAGGAAAGCGGGGAGGGTTAGGGAGCACGGTGCGGCGGGGTGAGTGGCCTCGCCGCGCGCCTCCAGCCCCCGCAGCCCCAACGCCACCCGCCCCGCGGCTGCCGCACCGATGCGCTGTCCGCGGTGCTGACGCCGGACGCCCGCTCGGTCGGGAGGGGGAGCAAACGCCCTGGTTCCCGGGTCGCCGGGAGCCGAGTGGCCGCCTCTCCATACTTCTCAACCGGTACCATTTTCCCAAAGGAAGCCTGAGTCCTGGCGCTGCAGTTGGATCCAGGACAAAGGAATAAGAGAAGGGAACTTAAACTTCGGATAGAGCCCGACAACCCAGTGTCGGGGATTCGCGTCGTGCGGCCCCCAGCCCTGGAGACCGCAGAGCACCATCAAGTTGAGCAAAGTTTCGCCGCGGCTTGAGACACGGGAGGGATAGCAGAGGCGAAGCGCAGAGAGGGGTAGGACGGCGTTCCCAGGCGGGGTAGTAGCCAGCGCCGCAGTCCGACAACCTGCTCCGGTGCCCCGCAGCTGTGCCGCCAGAGCCACCGGGAGGCGTCGCAGCAGCCCAACTCTCCACCCCCTCCCTTCCTTCCTTACTCACCCCTCCCCAACACCCCGCCCCGGGCGCCGATGACTCCGCCTCTCGGTGCCGGGCGGCTCTTCGGCTGGAGCTGGGAAGGGAGCGCTTCCCCGGACTCGGCTCAGCTCTGAGGCTCCGAAGCCGACGCCGCCAGCTCAGCCCCGGGGGCGGGAGCAGGACTGTCCGAGCAGCCTGCACCTGGGTGCTGCCGAGCCCGGAACGCCTTATGGGACGCCCCCGGGGGCTCTCTCAGCGCCCTGCTGCCGCGTCCCTGTCCTAGGCGCCCGGGCTCCACGGCCCGCCCCGCCCGCAGCCCGCGGCCTGTCTGGAGAAGAGTATGAGGCCCGGGGCCCCGCGGACGCCGGCCACAGGGCGGCAGGGGCCTAGCTGCGGAGCCCCGCGCCCGAGGGCGGCGGGTAAGGAGTCGCGGGAACCGGCGAGGCGTCGGGGCGCGCAGAGGAGCGCCCCAGCCCTGGCGCCCGCTGGGCCGCGGGACTCGTGTGTGGCCTGAGCGCCGGGGAGGAGGCGGAGGCGCCCCTCCGTCCGGGTTCTGGGGGAAGCGGCGAGGGGCTCCACGGCGGCCCCCGACCCCCGGCCACCATCCTCACGCTCCTGCTCCCGCGGGGGGGATGTCGCGGCCCGGGCTCCGAGCGCCGCCCCGGCCCCGGGGCTGAGCTCCGGACCATGTCCTCTCGCAGCCCCCGGCCCCCGCCCCGCCGCTGCCGCCGCCGCCTGCCGCGCCCCTCCTGCTGCTGCTGCTGCTGTCGCCGCTCGCACCTCAACGAGGACACCGGCCGCTTCGTGCTGCTGGCAGCGCTCATCGGCCTCTACCTGGTGGCGGGCGCCACAGTCTTCTCTGCGCTCGAGAGCCCGGGCGAGGCGGAGGCGCGGGCGCGCTGGGGCGCCACGCTGCGCAACTTCAGCGCGGCGCACGGCGTGGCCGAGCCGGAGCTGCGCGCCTTCCTCCGGCACTACGAGGCCGCGCTGGCCGCCGGCGTCCGCGCCGACGCGCTGCGCCCGCGCTGGGACTTCCCTGGCGCCTTCTACTTCGTGGGCACCGTGGTGTCAACCATAGGTGAGCGGCGCGCCCTGCGCGCGTCTTTCCCCTCTGCGCCTTTCACCAGCCGTGTTTTCCGCTGCTCGGCGGCTCGGTCCGCGTCCCTCCGTTCCTCCCTTCCCTTCTAATGTCCCTTTGCGGACTTTTGTCTCTCCCTCTGCCCTCCACCCGTCCCCCTCCTGCTGCCTCTTCGCTCTTCCCCGGCTTTCGCCGCAGGAGGAAAGCCCAGCTCTGGCGCGCACTCAGCAGTGACTCGCCTGGCAGTGTAGCCCAATGGGGAGAGCCTCACCCAGGCGCCCGGCAGCCCGGGGCTGCCTGCGCTCCAGCACTCTTGCAGACTCCGTGACGTGACCTTGGTGCGCCTCAGTTTTCTCCTCTAAAAGAGGAGAAAATGTGAAGATATGTGTCAGGGGCTGCTGGTTTTTGTTTTCCTATTCCCCACCAGCCCTCAACCCTGGCCTCAGTTTCCTCATCCAGATGATTTTGAAAGCCCTTTCTCTGTCCACTCTCTGCATGTTTATTTCCTCCTCTTTCACACCATTTTCCTCTTGCTTCTTTACCCTGCGTTTTCCCCTCAGCGCCCTCTAACCTTTCTACCCTGGGGAGACGACCGCTTTCCACAGGACCATTTTCCTAGATCTCCTTCCCACCCGCTTCTCCTGCAGGCTACACTGCTCCCCTCCAAAGTAAAGCCTGTTAGTCAGAGACCCCGACTTCTGCCCCCTCTCTTGATAACCCCCCACTCCCAGCCTCTTCTCCAATTTCGTGACCTCTTTCTTTGTTCCCTCGCCACTTTTTCCAATCAGTAGTAGTGCCGAGGGATAGCTGAGAACAGGGATAGTTTCCCTCTACTTTCCATCATCCCTTTTCCCTCTTTTTGGCGTAAACAGTTCATGTTCTTTCAATTTGACAAAAAATGCTGTGTAAAACTCCTTCAGCCCCCCCCCCCCCCCCACTCCTCCCTCTTTGGCCAGATTGCTGCCTCTGAGCTCCTGTGGAGAAATTCTGGAGCCGCCACTGCTGTCCACCCCACCACTTCCCTCCTTTTCCTTCTTCTCCTCTCACTGGCTTTCCCATGTCCCCCTTTCCCTGGGCCCTGGGTGCCATGTGAAACACAGCTCCCCTCCCCCCACCCCCCCACCGCAGTTACTCACCTGCATTGAGCGGAAGAAATACAAGCTTCTCACTTGGGCCAGACCGTGTGTGTCCCCCACTCCTGCTTGGAGTCCCAGGGTGGAAGAAGTCACTTGGCTGGTCACACCTCCAGTCATCCCAAGGCACTGTCCCTGGTGGTGCAGTTTTGGAGGAGGGGGCTGGATTTGCTGGGCTGAGAAGTGAGAGGGATGTCATAGACACGCCTTCCGTGGGTGGGTTCTGGGGTGGTTTGGTTTGCCAGCTCAGAGACGGGGCATGGACTGTAACTGACCAGTGTGAGCCACGGCAAATGGCTGTTGGAGGCAGGGAGCAAGGCTGCATCCATGTGCAGAATATGAGCAGCTAGAGATGTGTCTCTGAGTGTATATGTATAGTCTATGAAAGGGCTTCCTTGCCTTCTATGATTTTTCATGTGTCATGCTTGATCTATTTTAAATAGAAAAGGCAAATATGGCCCAAGTCCAAGGCACACACAAATTGGATAAAAATATCCTTTAAAAGCTATATCATGTTGTTATGGTGATAGAAGATATAAAATGACCCCCTCAAAAAAATCCCCTTTTAAGAGCTGCATCAAGTTGCTATAGCAACTAGAGTTTTTTTAAGTGCTTTAAAAGTACTAAGGATGCTTAGTCCTGGAGGATGACATCATGCGTTCGTAGCTTGTTATTGACTTGTGTTCTTCCTCTTGTAAACACACCCTTTTGCCATCTTCCACCTAGAAGCACCTATGCACATACTGGGTGGTCACAACGTTTTTTTTCCCAGTTCCATGCTCTGGTTTCCTAATGGAACCCACAGGCTAAACGGGAAGCTGTTTGCAGTGTCCTCTTCCCCTTCAGGCCCCAGTCCATCCAAATAGGGCCTCATTCCAGTGACCCATGGTCTTTGTGCCTCTCTGATGAGCTCCATCAATCTTTTATTCACTGCCACTTTGGATGCAGAGATTCTGAGGCCAGACATGGCTTCTAAAGCTTCTCTTTCTCAGCTCTTTGCACAAAATTAAGTCAGCATGTTGGGAAATTGTTCTATTCCCCAACCTTTAATCTACTGGCAGGATTGGCTCTTTAGTCAAGCAGAAAGAAACTACATTCTCTTTCTTGATTTGTGTTTTCAGATGTAGGCAAGCAATATGGGAAGGCTACACTGAAGCATGTAGCAGTGTTACGAATGACCCAGCATGTTGCTTCCAAAATCTGCAGGGAAACATTCGAACCAGCCTGTGGACAACTCAGGGTTGAACTAGCCCTCTGCAGGGTGCCAAGAGAGCCATACAAGTAGCAGGGGCTCTACTGGTTAGCCACCTGCTGGGGCGTTGGGAGGGGCAGTGGTTCAAATTGGTCACTTCTGTCAGTCAGATAAGTTCTGCTGAATCCACAAGTAGCATGATTGGCATTTCAGCCTTCTCTTTGCAAAATACACTTGGATGAGATTTGAGGAAAGACCTACATAGGTCCATTTCTCTTCTGCTTACATAGTTTCTTTCCCTTAAATTCCCTGAGTCTTCAGAGACAATTATTATTATTACTGATGCTTTTATGGATTCAACAGCTCAGGGAGCCAGAGCTCAGTCCCAAATGGGCAGTCAGGATTCTTTATCTGCCACCTTATCCAGTGAAGAGGAAAATTAGCATATACTTGGTTTTATTTGATGAGTGAATATCACAGTGTGTTTGATTCATATAGTAGTGGGAATTCAGGGGACCAAAATGATTTGGTTCAGCTATTTATACTGCCTAATCAAACAGGACATTTGTGTGTGTGTGTGTGTGTGTGTGTGTGTGTGTGTGTGTGTAGACCCAGCTAAATGATTCATCTAGACTTTAGCATAGAAAAATCCTTCTTTCATTCATTCCATAAATATGATGTATTGTGTATATCAAGCCCAGTGCTATATTTTGAAATGTTAAAGCTTCTTCTACATGGCAAAGGTTAAAGCATATTCTAACACAAGCAGTTGGATTGCAGCATTTATGAGCAGCATGTCTTGGCCACCCTCACTAAGTATTATTAGAAGAAGTGGACCTTTGGTATAATCCCATATGGCACAGTGTTAAGGGACTTGTCCAAGGTCACATAGTTAATGAGGGGTTCAGCTGGGTCCAGAAACCAAGCATTCAGAGTATGTTCCTCCCAATTTCATGCATATAATTGGTGAGAACATTCTTGTTTAAGACTGAAGAGTTTGATAAAGGTTGTGTGTGTGTGCGCATGCGTGCGTGTTCTGACACAAGGGAGGGACTGGTCTGATGTTCGGGCTATCAAATCATTAGGCTCAGGGAAAACTTGAAGAATCAGACACATCTTGTAGGTCATACAGGTTAGAAGCATCTAGCAGGTCTCAGCTGGGCGGGTAGGCAAGAGCCAGGATACAGAAGGTCAGAGACAGGGGTGCTAGCAAGGAGATGTTCTGGTAAACTCTGGTCCAAGGACAGAAGCCACTTTCTGCCTTTTTTTGCACCGTGTGTGTGCATGCGCGCATGCTCATTTGTGCATTCACATGTGCTCTTAAGAGTGCATATAGAGGAGGAGAAGGGGCAGAAATAGGCTTTCAATGCGTGGAAGACATAAAGAAAGTTCAGGTATGGCTGTGCGTACTCAAGGTTAGATGGGACACCACAATGAGATTGAATATTTGTCCTGACATTTGGTTTGAATAGGGCCCCATGTCTAGAGCTGGACAGTTTGCAAATATACAGACACACATATGTCCACACAACACAGACCCGGTGGGAAAATTTCACCTGTGATTATTCAGCAGTGATTGAGACTCTATAAAAAGTCAATTCGAATAGCTCAAGCAAAATAAAAATCCACTTTGTGGTCTAAATTATTTACACTGATTGCTTACACTGAACTGAAATTCTGGGTAATTATTATTTCTCCCATTTATGCTATATGACATAGTCCCTAGGGGTTGAAATCAAGTTTGTTTTAATGTGAATGCATCCATTTATTCATTTCTCCATTTAACAAACATCCAAGACGAGCATAACTCATCATAGATGTATGAGTGGCCGTTGGCACAACAGTATCTGTGTCTCCTGTGATTACATGAACTCCTATAGATAAGGGTGGTGGCTTGTGGTCTTTTAGCACTAAATAATATTCCTGGAGGCAGTACTCCAGCTCGGAGATATTCAAAACCATCCAAAGAGTATTAACCTATCATTTCACATCCTAAAGGATGTTTTATTGGTTTACTTTGAAAAGATTAAAAGGAAACTCTCCACTGGGGTTTTAATTATGCATCTGCTGTCAGATTTACACATAGGAAAGAACATATTTAAAAGTCTTTCTCAAATGGCAGCTTGATATAAACAGAAATATTTTTGCTTCCTTTTATTAGGTTTTCTGGCAGCGTTTTTCAGCTATAAAGCTAAAATCATGCCGCTGTAGACGGGATGGTGTAGGTATAAGAGCTGTCACTTTTGGCACTGCATAATTTAGCTTGCTACTTTCAGAATTAGGCACACTTAATTATTCAGCCACGAGATTAGTAACAAGTCCTAACTTTTCCCCCCCTTTTCAACATGGATTTTTGAAAAATGTTTTTGCTACAAAGGAAGCTAAGACATTATAAGCTCAGAATGTCACTGCCACATTTACATTGGGCTTTCTTCTAACATGTATGTAATCCAGCTGGAGGTGGTTTTGTTCGGAGATACATTATCCAGAAGGAAAGGAGTACCTTTCCTCACTTATTTCTCTCATCAGCTATTTTTTAGTGAAAGATGATGCTATGGCAGCTTCGAAGGACATTTGGAGAAAAACTATCTCATTAGATCTGAAGCTCTGGGAAGAAAGCAGAAAATGCATTTCCATTCACTACTCCATCCTCAGCATCCAGCATGGGACCCAGC